TCTTTAGACAACGGCTGCAACTAGTTGACTTCCAACCATTGCTTCCGCCATTTGTACCAGATGTTGTGCGCATGTTGGCAAATTCCATAGAGCTCCATTGTTACAAGAACAACTGGCAAGCCGTGCTTGAGCCTTTACAAGAGTACCAGGAAGAGGGTAGGTATGCACTCGTCCAGTTGATTCGTCAACAATACAACATGAAGTCACTGGAGAAACTGTTGAGGGAAATGCCACATGCTGTACAAATTGTTGCGCTGCGTTTGTTCTTAGACGAACTGGGCACAAAACCGTTGAATTTTCGTAAAAGGCACTTAGAACAACTGAGCAACTCGCCTTTATTTGATTTTTTTCTTCGACCGAATCCCGGGTTGCGTGAAGTCGTGAAACATGCTGCATTGTCCTCGTCCTGTGTTCACGTTGACACACTGGCCTTTATGATGATTCACCTGATACATGCTTGGGAAAATGCTTCAAATCCGGTGAGTGGGAAAACTAAGTTAGCTTTACTGTATGGCCAATTATTGTTCACGTTTGCGGAAAGGCCGTATGTCTACGGTCTAGACACGGAAGAGGGTAAAACTCTGGAATCGTCCTTGTTTGAGGTGCTTCTAGAAACGTGTGACTGCCACTTTTGGAATCATTTGACTTCTCTGAAGATGCAGGCAGCGTTTGATCCGACCGAACAGGGCCTCACCTTACCAGTTCAAGCTGACATGGTTCGTATTGTAGAAACCAAACCGTCCTCTCCACAAGTTAGTGTGAAAACCCTGGATGACGAAGAAAAAATACATTCGTGTGAGCTTGACCGAATAATCAGTTTTTACTCATTCTGCCGACCAACAGTAGAGTCAATGGAAACAATGGACACACCCAAAGATATACAAAGTCTGACCTCAATGGAGACGGGTAAAGTGTGAGCTGAAATATTTTTGATTTATGTTTCGTATGGCTTTTTATTCATACGTAGTTGATTCATTCGAAGTCAGTTTTTATTAAGGACACTGTAGTAAACCGCTTGTTGTCACCGAAGGAAAATCTGTTTACTTAGCTGATGTAGGGCTGTGACGCATTCTATTCGGTGTTCAGGTAGCGGTTATGAATATATTAAGATTATTCTGTTCATGTCAGCGCTGTTAACAAATATGATGTCCCCCAGCTTAAGTGAAATCCTCATCGAAGCGCAACAGACTCCTCTTAATAATCTCGCTCTGTGTAAGCAATCATTTTCATTATAATGTTGTGTCCAACAAGATACACTTTTCTCTGTAAAACTAAGTAACTTTTTCGCGCTTCTGAAAACAAAAATGTCGTTTGGAGTCAAAAACTCTATCACTTATATATCACATGATATACCTGGGTTTATTGTGCATAGCAGTGGTTATCAGAAATGAGTTATCGATGCATTTCACGTTGAGTGTGACAAGCAGCGACAGACCATCTGCTTTTTACAGCAACTAACCAAAATGACTGGTTGCCGAATTTATGTGTGTTTCATCAAATACGGTCGGACAGTGTTTATCAGTCGACCACAGAATGAGAGAGTTCGAATATGAAAATGGAAACGGGTGAAAACATACAACCAAATATGCCTCATAATATATCGTTTTTACAGTGACAATAACTGGCTCCTAGTACCGTACTCCATCTAATAACAGCTAACTGGTTTTGTTTGTATATTCGGAAACACCACTAAGTTCCGCACTTAAGCTCTGGTCAATTGTTTAATATTTTTAGAATTATGATAAAAGAACATAATACGATTTTCCGCCTCAATTTTGCAGCCAGTATGGCGTGTAAACTATTTAACGGTGACGCATTACGACAGTCGTACCTGCGGCTGCGTGGGACTAACCGCAAACTTCCGTAAACACATCATGAGATGGATTTTGCTAGGTAAATGACGAAACTTAGAAGTACGAAGAACGGATAGATGATTCAATAGCTGTCGAGTATATGAAAATTGTAAAGTGCAATTTTGTGGACATACTATTATTACCGAAATGTTTTCTGGAAAGCTAGGCAATACATACTGAAAAAAATATTCACACACTCCACAATTAATTGAGTTAGTTCTATTGTTTTAACGTACGAGAAAGAATTGGATCACGCGAATGTTGAACTGAGTGAATAGTAGCAGTTATATAGTGTGAACACTGGACCGACTTGGTACACAGTGAGCAACCCGATATACCGAAACACACAAGAAAAAGGGACAGAGTGGTTTGTATTCTCCGACTGACAAGAATACTGCACACATGCAAATTATAATTCTGTTGCTCAAACTCACCTCATTTCACGTGCGTACACTTAATGAAGACTTGGCCAGCTTGATTAAAGCGAGTGCTTAGTCAGCGTTGTTTGTTTCTCATTATCCATCGTGATAACTGCGTACTAACAATCAGTCACCCGCTAGTCATCTATCACTGGACTCTATATGTGGTCTCCTTTCGTTTTCCCGACGTAATTCAATCCCACCATATTTTAAAGGTTAACAGACATAGCACAAATTATGTGGCAGTTGACTCAGGAATTCGAATGAAGGAATATATATATATATATTTAAAGTATTAAAACGAGGGCAAACACTGAGTAGTGAACGATTTATTGTGACGTTTCAAATCCACACTATATATATATATATATATATATCGAAGGCTGAGTGAGAGAGTGATGTAGGATACACACAAGGTTATCATTTGGTCAACTGATGAGAGGTGGTTAGCGTGTGCTGAACACACCGTCAATGTTACGATCTTCAAAAACACAACACGATCATACTGCTGTAAATCTGGTTTGTTCATGTTACAGGGATGCGTTTGATGGAAGTCAAGTTCTTCTCTTCACAATAATTAACACTGAAAATTTTGGTCCCGAGAATAACGCGACTGTCCCCTGTTTATTGTTCCCAAAACAAATCAAAAGATGGATGTAAAAAATAAATTTGTTTCACTCTAACAACCTGTGTGACAAAGAGGAAATTACAAGGTATTTATACGGTGCATAGTGACCTACAAACATTTTCGAATCAGACAATCGAAGGACAGTCACTAAAAATAGTAGGAAGGTCACTAAGACACCAATCAGTATAATGGAATAAAAGTCAAACAGGTTAAAAAGACAACGAATGTTACTCCTTCATTGTTCACGACATTTACGCTCATTCTGACTAGATAAAATAGATTTCTTGAGGAAGAATGAGTGTTGGGACAGAAAAAATGTATCCCTCAACACAAGTTTATTTGCAAATCCGTGCGGTTAGAATAACCAAATGTTTCAAGATAAAAAATATGTCTAAGACCAATGATGAGATATTGTATAACACTCACTGTGTCTAAAAATCCTGACTATCTGCCTAGTTCTATGCGGTCTTGTGGACGTCATGGCAAGGGACATCTTTGGGAATATCTAGACTGAGCTACCATCAACACTAAGGATTCGCATGTGCCATCACATCTCATTCCCGTGCTTCCAAAGGTGTGGTGACAGATGAACCAAAACTCATCGTGGTGCTTGTCAACGGCAGGCAAAACAGAATGGGTGCAGCAGTCTTCATCAAAAGCAAAACTACTCGGTAATAATGTAAGAGAATATAAACTACCAGACAGCATTCATATTTATAAGGTTTGAGTTGTTTTTCCCCAATCAGGTACAGGGTTTGGGATATGATAATTGGTAATTCGAAAACACAGCAGGTGCGAGGGTCTGTATTATTATTCAACAGTTAACAACTCATCCACTTCCACAAAACGTTCTCCAATCAAACAGTATTCGGATGCAAGTGTAAGTGAAAAAGTAAGATTTAGGCAACTTGATGTTCAATGATTGAATATAGATGAAGCTACTTTTAGTATTTAAATCACTTCCCTTCTTCTCCAGTCCTATGCAGTAACTACTTGTTTCTTCACGATTGTGTGAACAGATAAGCATCAATGATGACCACTGACGTGGTGCTGTCTACAACGATAATAATATTAATAATAATAATAATAATAATAAAATGAACAGCTAATCGAGGACAATAGCCATAGACTTTCGTGTGTGATCCTCACCGGTCAAGCGATATCATTTATCAACGCCACTTTTGTGTTCAGCAGTGTATATCTCTAGGTAGTGACTTCTCTTAGAACCGGTGGTTGGATAGATATCTGGTTCGATTGCTGATATCAGACTAACTTGTTGAAAGCTCCAGATACATTTTTAACCTGTGCTTTTTCATGGCCTCATGGGTGTATGACTTTTGTTTAGACTTACTGGTTCTTAGGTCACTTGAGAGACTAGCTTTATCTGCTGGTTGTAGATCCTCGAAGTCTAATGTGGAAAAATGCTAAACACGTTATGGTTCTGCGTAACACGATGTTGTCAAACAAAAAGGAACTATTTCAGCGTCCGATCACAGTCCACTCTTATATAACTAATAGTCTTATGAACAAACTGTTACACTTGGAGAGATGCTGTTTGTTGATTTGTTAGCGTGCTATATCCTCTGAAATTGATCGGGGAACCTGAGCAGTACTCACAAGGGAATAGGTCTAAGTGTTTGCAGGTGACTAATTTGTCGTGCCTGACATGAGGTTAATAGATCAGTGGTCAATCCGGTTGTCCTGTTACAACGTGCACTTAACTGGATATCCCAGTGGTAGTAAATATATGAACTACTGAAAAACTCTAACAAGAACAAAACCCGAACCCGTTGCTTCTTTTTCAAAGGGGTCGGCCGGAAAATTTACTTCTGTACAAAAATTGCGATAAGCTACTGATGATGCACAGTTCACATTGATCAGTTTTATCACTCATCTAGCAAAAATAACATGCGGTAACTTTACCTTATTCTCACCGATAGGATGGTAATTTTAGACCAGCTTTGTCCGACATAGCAAAAGGCTGCATACACTGGTATTCCCATACGCGTAACACTAATAGTTTGTTCAATAAGCCTTAAATCACTGATAAGTAGTTTGGCAGATTTGATAATTTAGAAGACATACAATTGCGAAAAATCTTGACTTCGGCTGAATTCGAATCAACGACAGAAACACCATGCCGAAACGCAGCAAACACTCTACCAGCTGAGCTACGAAGCCACGCCGAGAGCTCAGAAATTTCAAATTTGGACCTAGGTCCAAGTTGGATTGATATCTGGGACCTAGGTCCAAATGTGAAATATCTGAGCTCCCGGCGTGGCTTCGTAGCTCAGCTGGTAGAGCGCTTGCTGCGTTTTGGCATGGTGTTTCTCTCGTTGGTTTGAATCCAGCCGAAGTTCAGATGTTTCGCAAATGGATCTCTTCTAAACCTTAAATCATCGGAGCCCGTTTCCTTTAATCTGATTGGCTTATTCTTTAAAAACCTTTCCTGTCAATGGTGTCGAAAACGACGGCTCCGGTTGCAGTTTCAACTGCTCCGGTGCTTATCCGTTTTTACACGCAAGTAGGAGGTTGATGAACGGAGTTTGACAAAATCGTGGATGAACTCACTGAGCATTATCCCACAGACGCAAACCGATATTTGCGTATCTCTTGCTGTCGCTTTGTCACACTGTTACATTGCCTTCTAATAACACTGTTCTACGTGACCTTGGTTGAACGTCGGTAATGCTTTGAATTATGGATTTTTACCTGGACCAACTCATCTCTAACGAATAGCACGTCTCAAAAACCCTCAACAGTTGAACAATCAGTATGAATTTACCATAAGAAGGATGATGTTTCTCTTTTCGTGTATTTAGATTCTGTTGGTCCAACTATAGTGAAGGATGTTTTGGTGATTTAGCACTGCGTATTGGGAATACACTCTATAAAGTGTGCATGTTTTATCTCCTGCCATGTCTTCGATGGATTCATTCTCAGGTGCAAATGTCACCTGCAGTTCCGTAGTCGTAAGATCCATTCGGTCTCGGTTATCACAAGTGTAATGTATGGTTAAAAATCCAGATGACCGTGATGGTCAAACAAAGTATTTAAGATTGTGAGGTGACCTGAACGCCCGTAGTTAGCTAACCGGAGTGTCACGGCATTACTGTCTTGAAATATTCTGCCAATATGACTGGATAATAGTGAGAGTAATTGTGCTTACAGGAAATCGCTGTTAGAGTCTGTTTTTTTATCACTCTTCTTCAGACTAATACAGAATATCGTTTACTCATTCTAAACATTACAAACGACCAGACATCGATGGGTTAGTCGCTCAGTTGGCGAGTCACGAACGTTACTGTTGAGTGGTTTGAAGTTCCCCCAAGTCCACAGATCACAAATCCATGGATGGAAGTATGGATGGGAATGCAGACTGTTAATTTAGTCACACTCAATACTAAGGCTAACAAAATACACAATCACGAAAGTAAACACTAACCTGCATGACTGACTGTGTCCACAGCAGTTGGCAATAGTTTACCATCAGCCACTGTCGACACGTCCAGCACAGTACATATCAGCTTCTCAATTGTTGATTCCTACTTCTGGTCTTTTTGGTGTTGATGGTCTTCCTTTAGTTTTTGCGCGTTCGATTCGTGCCGTATCACCCATTAGCAACACTACATAATGCAAACTAAACATGTTCGGTGAACCTATCTAAGTTTGTTGAGGCATTGGTGATCTATCAACAATTTTCCGCCTTGGTTCTCTTCTATGGCTTCGTTTAAATTTCCGCTATATATCTAGATCATAGTGGTCAGCATGCCTGGCTTCTCAAAACCCTGTTCCTTAGGTCAGCCGAATAAAGGTCTCATGTACGACTGGGTCAGAATTGTCGGCTAAGCGAATGAAAGGTGTCCAACAAGGGTTACTTAAACAACCGATGTTACAAAGCAATTCCATTCTTACGTTCACACGCTGATCGTGCGTCCACGTTTATCAACCGGAATTCCAATCCACCACGCAATGAACAGTTCACTTGAACATTCTTTACACGTCTACCCGATTCTGTGTGTTTAGCTGACGTTTTCCATCGTGGATTTCCGCTTGTTATTTCTCACCCGTGTGGAGGATTTTGCACACTGATGTCTGTGATCCGTCTGTTATGAGTTCTGTTCAGACCACGGATCCGCTTGGCGATATTCCACTAGGTGTCGGGATACCTGCTGCTTGGTCACCCATTGTCGTGTACTCGTCAAGGCAGCCTATGTGCACCACACTCGTGGTGAGACTCAACCTACGTTCTGATTGATCGCGCCTTCAACAACCGACGTCTCCTCGTCCCCGCATTTAAGAGTGACTCTACCACTTGTAAATGGGACAGTATGGTGCGTACTTCTACTGGGTCACATGTGCTTTCTATGGTTGTTGCAGCCTGTAGGGCTTACTGTTGATTGCACCCAAATAAGAATACGACACCCACCAATACTTGTTCAGACCATGTGTGTGACCTACACCGGTGGCGATACGGTGCGCGCACACAATCACGCTTAATGCTAGTATTCAAACACACAGTGCTCACCACATTTGTGCATGTGTGCAAGAGTCACCGCAAATCAACCCACCAGAAAACCTAGGTTGAAGCACGATCTTTAACGGGGTGTGTGTACAAATGACAGTTTAGTGTACTGTTAGCCACTCTACATGCCGCCCGGATAATTACATAAAGTTCGCGAATCTATCTACTTGTCAGCCTGTGTAAGTGTATGACACCAACATGTTTTGCTCGTTATGCTGAAAAGTGTTTATGGCTCGATGTCCAGGATGATGCCCAGGCACTCTACCAAAACGTTGCCGGATTCGAACGGTATTTGATCTACTCGCAATAACACTTGAAGTCGATTGATAAAGATATGACCGATGGAAGTGACTTCAGAAAACCCGAAAAGATGTTTGATCCTATCAGTGCTAATATCTAGCTCACTGTGTGGGGAAATTTACTCTACTACTCACAGAAGAAAGGACTTAAATAGTGAGGTTGAGTTGAGTCGGAAAACTGTTGTAGCATAAGACCCAGTCTTGACGTAAGCACGAATTAAGTTGGAGTGTTCTGCAGAGGAGAACATGTGTCGACAAACGGTCAGTAGATGGAGCTCAAAGTCGTCGCTAACTAACAAGCGATATTTCCTCTCACCTTTTTAGTCTAATGTTTTCTGTATCAGGCTTACCACAGTTCAGGTAGAAAACTTGTTTTGTTTTTAGAACCATTTGATAATTGGAGTGTTGTTTGTTCATGTGATAGTGCTCATCCAATGTAAACAAAACTGGAACTTGACCTGACCTGTACATGTTGCCTCATTCTGTCTCTAATTTGTTCAACATTTTCGTTCGCTAGTATCAACAACTATCCCAAAACCGTGCGCGAGCGGCAGGCAATGAGTTTCATTTCGCAGCCTGTACCTCATGTGTTGGCACTGGCTCAATTGAACGCCATTATCGACAGGTCTGCTGTAGCGCGCGGCGTAGCACGTCGCTTAAAACCAATCACCAAAGACCTGGCTCGTGTCTGTCGATCAACAGCAGATCTTTTGCGTGATATTCGTCGGTATCGCCACGATTATGTGCTACAAAGAAAAACACCATTCCAAATAGCGTCAAAACAGCCGGGCTCAAATTTTGAGCTTGCACAGCAAGCCAGAAGTACCAAGAGGCACAAAACACTATCTGGCTTATCATTCAATCAGCAGTATGGTCAAAGGTCAAAAGGCAACTGAGGCGATTGAGTGGTCTCGCCAGCGGCCTTGTAATTGAAATTTCAATCAGAGAACCCATGATCACTCAATTATAAACGAACCCCTCTGATTTGTCCAGCGCGATTGGACTGTTGTGAGAAGAGGACGAGATATTTAGTCTCAATACAACTTGCTTGTTTTCATACTCGCAAACCCTCGTGTTTTTTTTTTCGCAGCCTAGTGGAACACAACTCATTTTGTTCAGTCTGACTGCACGGCAGGTTTGCTCTGGACAACTTCGGTAATACGCGGTTAACTCGGAATTCAATTAACAACGATTTAAGTATGGATAAATATCTATCAACCATTGTGTGGATGAAGTAACGTTGTAGCTAGCAAAAATTCTAAACAATCGCTTACCGCCAGGAGTGCCTAATCAAAGTGTCCTAGTTCGTTTATCCTAACATTAAGGTTGACCATCAAGAACTCAACCTTTTTGCTATCTACCCCATGGTCGAATAACGGCAACCATATTTCGTACAGGGCCGGTGACAGTTCCGAAAATGACAAATGAAGCAATCTGTCATCAACCATATCACTCTTCAGCAGCCATGTTTTCACTCACGTTTAATCAGTACCTTATAGCCTATCTTCTTGGCTATTTGTTGTATCGTAAATCAGAACGCAAGACAGTCGTAACGAGCGTAAACACATGTATGCAATGTAACCAACAGAAATGCACACGTGACATTAAACCAGTGGACGATATAGAATTAAAACAACCACAGTCGCCATGTATCAGGAGAGTGTTAATAGCCAGTCAGATACGAGGTGAACGTTTTGACACTTTTGACACATATACAACATCACTCTCTTTCGTTCAGCTTCGAATTAGGCGTGGATAAAACGGTCGACCGACTTCCAAGCCCGTGATGAGCGACGAGGATTTGGAGGGTTTTCAACGGGTTGCTCCGTACGTGAAAGGTAAGGTGATTCCTTGAGTCAATCGTCCAGCAAATAACTGACGTTGATTTACCTTCTTGTTGTTATCCAACTCGTATGTACCGGGTCCGAGAGTACGCTTTATGGAGACCGGGGATGAAAAGCTTATTTGCCCTTTGTTGTGCGACTGACTTTTTAAGCGAACAAATGTTCCGGGTGCCAAAGTTTTTGCTGACTTAGCATAGGTCTTTTGATAAGTTTCTCTCCGGAGCAGCTCGGTAGGTTTGTCTTTATTTGCAGGTTGGTGAGCTGCGTTGAGTTTAGTATGTAGAACTCTCCCGGACATAAGTTCAACAGGCGTTTTTCCGGTCGCTCTATAGTGGCTGGTGCGATAAGTGAATAACACTTGAAGCACCGAATCCACCCACGTCGCTCCTTGTAACTGTAATGCCTGTATACACTCCTTCAAAGAGCGATTCAAACGTTCCACCATACCATTACTTGAGGGATTGTAAGGAACAGTCCGTGAATGTTTGATTCCCTGCCGACGTAAAAATTCCT